AGAGAGAGAGAGAGAGAGAGAGAGAGAGACAGAGACAGAGAGAGAGAGAGAGAGAGAGAGACGAAGAAATAGAAACGCTCACCTATACCCACAAATACAAACCAACACAACTAACTCTCATTACACACACTACTCAACACACACACGTAAACATACACACAACAACAAGTTCAAAGTTCAAGGCAATAACTCAAGGTCATACAGAAGTATCCCTTCCCCAGGACAGAGCAAAGATGTCCGGCCATGACTAAACGGAGACAACGGGCACCCTACCCCCTACCCATCTCCCGCGGTCACAGAAGGCGGCGCTGGCCAGGTCAACCAGCTTGCCTATTACTATTACCTCCGCGCCACCTGGTGTGAACTTAATAAGGGTTAACTCCATAAACGCCGGCGATTTGAGCGGGAGAGCTGAGCTAGCCAGCATTGTTGAGGTCGGGGAGGCATATTTTGGTCTACAGGTTCAACCCCTTACTCAACAGTTGGGGTATTATTGTATATATGTGTATCATGTATAGCTGGACCCTGGCAGCATACCACAGAAGACTAATACTAGTATAGGTGTTCTGTACAGCATACCGACGCGTGTGGTGTGGGTTTGAGTTCATGAGAAATACCTTGACACAAATCGATGTTACGGTCGTTTTCATGTTGTTGTTGTTGTTGTTGTTGTTGTTGTTGTAGCGGTTGTTTTTGTTTTCGTTTTTGTTGTTGTTGTTGTTGTTGTTGTTGCAATTGTTGTTATCGTTGTTATTGTTATAAAGCTATACATTTCAGTTCCTCAGCACGATTGTTGATTGTGCTGTTATTGCTGTACTATTCTTTTAAAATTGTAGTCACAATCTTTTGCCACCTTTGGGAGTTAATTTAAAGAAATAAATTGAATTCTGAATCGTTTAACTTATTTACTCCGTTCAGATCCACAAGACTCCTTTTGAGTTTCAAAAGAAAGAAACAGAGAAGGAAAGAATGAAAGAAAGAAACATGCAACATGTCTTACTTTCTCAAAACACACTCCAAAGATATTCACAAATACGCACAAAAACATGGCGATACTTCTCGCGTATTTTTTCCTCCCCTTTCCATCTCATCGCTCTTCAATTGTATGATATGTAGATATGTAGATCAGCAAATTTGTATTCAATTTCTATTTTAATCGCATTGACATACAACCGGGGCCCACGCACGTCGCACAATGTTACGTCGCATCCGAGACCTCGCTCAGATTTCTGTGTTGTGCCCGGCCTCTCCCTTTTCCCGGCGCTAAAGATGTATGAGGCAGCGTGGTGAAATCAGGCGCTCGTCAAAATAATGAAATTTAAAAAAACAACCCCAAAACCCCCAGAAAAACACGGCATTTTTCTGGCCATAGGGTAATTTTTTTTCTTTTGCTCAACACTTTTAAAGTTTTTATGTGTAATTAGAAACACATGCCTGTGTGGATTTTACTGAAAACATCAGTAAATGGAACAAAAAAGAAAATTTCCACTTTAAAAAAAATAAAAATTACAATCTCGAGTTTTGGAAGTCACCAAACTTTGGCGGTCGTTTTCTCGCTAATGTTACCTCTGACACCAGGCGCACCCAACTTCCTTCTATTGCAGATATCTCGACTTCTTCTAGTCAAGATACATGATATTTTTTTTCCACCAAGTGCAAAACAAATGAACAAGCTCTAAGATGGTTGTACAATAACTCTACTATAAGCCCCAAAATTGACGAGCGCCTGGTTCCCCCGTGTCGTGACACATGTTACAACCTGAATGATCGCTGACGCGTAGCGAGCTGGAGGCCGGTCTAACCGGTAGTAGTCAGTAGTCATACATCACTCATAACTATGAGACAAATTAACCCTTTTGCGACGACAAGGCGCAAGTGGAGAGAACGGTAGTGTTAACACTTTTAAGACAATTGGAGTGAAGATTCGTGATCTTGCAAGACGATCCTATGGTAAGCGACAAGATCTACAAGTATTTTGAGGCGGTAGGGCTGAGATTTTGTTGACGCGCAAGAGAGGTTTCTAAGACACCAATAAAAACAAAGTATCTCCAAATCCTGCCTTCGGAAACAAACTAACTGGATTCACTTGCAAAAGGCTGGGGTTTGAGCCACGAGACGTCTCAAGAAAACCTCGTATCCGAAATATCTATAAGAGCTTTCGTGGCAAGTGAAGAGTTAAATTATGAATCCGATAAAAATCAAGTAAACAAAAGATTCTTCAATCTCCATAATAATGAAGACAAAGATGCGCCTAAGCTTTATTTTTTTCAGAAACGTCTCAGTGCGAAAAGATGAACTAAGACGCCGATCTAACCTTTCAAGATTCAGTCGGATGGATCCGTTGTTAGCATAGCCTTACCCCTGCACTCAACTTTAATAACATTCATCTTATAAACGCCTTTCATGAAGGAATTTAGCTACGTAAGCATAATTTATGTTATGGGATGGGCCTCCCGTCACGCACTGGTGCATTCAATGTAATTCTCATTTCATGTTGGCCGCTTGTGCCTTTTTTTTATCAGTTATTTTGTATTCAAGCACATGCCACGGTTGAAAAAGAAACAGCTATTTGATTGCAGTGTGATCTATGAATGCATGAAAGCCCGTTTACAGCACTAAAAGGTGAATTTTGAGCTGGAACCGCTAGGTAACATCCAACTCCGATATGAGAGCCATGATAACTATATAAACGGCCCACGTTCAAGAAAACCCTACAAACAGAGTCGAACCAGAGAGAGAAAGAAAAAGAGAGAGAGAGAGAGAC